TTCTTACCTCTGAGAGGTTTGGGGTCTTCCAAGCTTGAGGCTGCTTCCCCTAACTAAACTAGATGATACATATGTACTTGTCAAAGATTCCATTCATTCTGTATTCCCTCTGAGATTACACGCTTGGATTATCCCCAAATATTACTCACACAGCCTCCAGAACTATGATTTGATACCAGGAAATCAGAACATGCAATCTCCAATCATTCTGACCCCAGCATTGCTTGGAGACTGGGAATGGATGCTGATAATTTGTCACCTCTACAGCTGCAGGCCCAACATAGCTGACGTCCTGAGTTGAGAGTGAGGAGGCAGATATTCTGATATCTTCACTGCTTTCCTCAGAATCGTAGACATATGGACTTATGGTAATAACTAGTACATTTCTCTTATTGCATTTGTGACTCTGAGGAGCAATGATTTTCCTCCATTTTCTAAAAGTCATAAGCAAACAGTCATGCTTTCTCAGCAAATGAGCTGTAATAAGGGACTTTGTGGACCTTATATGTTCTGTTTACTTAGAATACATATGCTGAGTCTCTGATGAAAGGAAACACCTATCTTAGTGTATCTTAGGGACAAGAAAGAGTAGGAACAGAGGTTTGAAGTCTCACATAAGATATTTTCCTAAGAGACTCTCATAATGTTAGGCTTCCTCTGTGATTTTTTTTCTTAAGGATGATATAGGGACAAAAAATAATGAAGTTCAGGGAGTAGGATCTCTTTAGGATCCCTAAATGGGACATAAATCAAAGGGGTTAGGGCCTGTACAGATTATTTTAGTGTTCATGACTAAAATTGTTAGAAGAAAAGGGATGGTTCTCTTCCCTGGAAATCCCACCATCCCATGTCTTATTACCCAATGCTTATTATATATATATCATTTATCATGTTTATTATATATTATATTTATTATGTATATTATATATCCCATTTTATTATCCCATGTCTCCTCTCAAATCAATGGCATACTAGGAGAAATCCCCATTTTACCTTCATTCAATTCCATAAATTCACTCATTAGTTCTCTAAAGCTGAGAATGAGTCCTAGCAAATAGTTGAAAAGCCTATTCTATCTGAGCCCATATATACACACATATATATATTTAATATTTATATATATATATAACATTTATATAACGTGTATATATATATATATATACACACATATATATATATGTAACATTTCTTTTCAAATATATGTTTCTGTTTTGCCTATACACAAATATATCATTATGGTTTCCTTCTTCTAGTTAATAACACACTGTCTGACATGACAAGAAAATAATCTTCATTAAGAAAAGCAGAGTATCATTTTTAGAAATTGTTGACCTGATTTAAAAATTGACACTTTCATAAGAATGTGCCACTCTTCACTGATTCCATCTGAATCACAGGATTTTTATTATAGGCTAGTTTTGATCAAATCATTTTCCAAGTAACTTATCCTTAAGCTAGGAGCATTCTTGGAATCATTTTTTTTTTTCCCTGCAGACATCACAATATGCTGAGTAGTTCTTCTTATGTAAATATTAGTAGTACCTTTGTCAAACATTGCATTTTACAAAATCCCTGAACTAGGCTAGTTGAACCCACTCAAACATTACTAAGACCTTTCACAGATTTAAGAGCAGTTGAAGAATGCTTAGCAACTCTAGTGTCAGAAAGCAAACTCAGAATGAATATGTCTTTCATCTAGGTCAAGGCAAATGTCAGGGACAATGAAGGGTGAAACATGGTGATGGAGATTTGAAATGAAGGGCTGGGGCAACAGGTGCTTGGTGTGAGATGCAGAAAGACAGGAGAGAAGTGCTGTGAAGTATGAAGACAGCAACCATACTGAAAGGCAACAAAGAAAAGCCTGAGGCTTCTCCCTGCCAGAGAAACACATCTTAGACATAAAGTACTTTCAAAGTAGCATCAGAAGAGATGCTGAAATCTGGAGTCTCTTTTTGTCTAAACAAGTCACTTTTTAAAGCTCCAGTGAAGCCATAGGAACCTATTTGGATATGCAGACACAGGCACAATTATTTTGTCAGTGTTGACACAAAGGAAAGCTAAACACAAAACAGTTACAGAAAAAGAGAAATAAGGTTCCCTAAGCATCCGGGTAGGTGAACAGTGCTATGGTTGACAAGTTCCTTGCTTGATTTCTAACAACACTGTAAGGTGAAATTTTCTTTTCAGTATTAAAGATGAGGAATCGAAGTCTCAGAGAGACACTCAGACTATAAGTGGAGCTTTCTTTTTTCTGATTTCACTCTTTGACATACATTGAGTCAATTACAGGTAGACAGTTCGTTTCAGTATCAGGTTATTCATTTGACTATTACTCAATAATGCCAAGGAGCTTGAGAAATTTAAACATTAAAAGGTGCTGCATTACTTCGATATACTATTTTAATTAACATCCTATGCATATTTGAAGGCAGACACTCGGATGTAATCAGATGTTGCATTGTTCAAATATCATCCAGATGTTGTGTCTCCTGGACTAAGCATTATATTTTTAGTCTACCAGAATTCAGTAAACTTCATATATCCTTTACATTATTACTGCTCCCAAAATCAACTTTAGCATTTTACTTTTTGTTTAAAAATCTTGCCTGTCTATATCTAGAATATAATCAAGATGATCCAGTACACAGTTAACCAACAAGAAAAGCCATAAAATATTAAAGGCATTGATATTACTATGTTGGTCTGAAAAACATGTAAATAATTTGGTTAATATTTGTAAAATATAAATTATGTATTTTTATTATCCCAAATTTCACCTACTTAAGAGATATTCTCATAATTACTAAAGAGAAAATTCAAATATTAAGATGAAATTTGTTGATAAAATGTACACATTCATGTATTAAATTTGTATCTATATTATCATCATTATAGAATATGAATAGAATAGATATGAACCTAGGTATTTCTCAGATTTCTTCATATCTACAATTTAACATATAGATGAAATTGTATAATAATACCCACAGCTACTAACAGATGAGGACATTTCAGAAATTTAGAATGGAGAAATTAATAGTGGTTTTCATGTCCCATATAATGAAAAAAACCTTTAGATTTTGGCCAGACAAGTGACTAAATAAGTAGAAGCACACACAGTTAAGATTGTAAATATATTAAATGCTGGTTTGGATTTTGAATAAGAATACTTGGTTAAGAGGGAGCGGATAAAATAAAAATCAGCAGAGTATCACTGGAAGTGATTAATATATTTACATACAAGCGACTGAACAGAAGTAGTGAGTTCTCTCCAGCTCTGCGCACATGTGATGCAAAAGTGCCGTTCCCAATGGAGATGATGATTACATGCCTGAAGGGACACCCTCTGATAGAAGAAGGATGACCCAGTATAACAGGGCACCAAGAAACTGCCAAGTTCTTCACTCTTTTTCAGATTTTGTGGCATGCCCTTAGTCCCTTAGTCTAGAGACCTGCCTCTTTTCTACTCTGACCCACTTCACTGATAATCGGTTAGCAGTATGTAAATAGCAGCCATAACTTATTCTTCTTAGCCAGAAAACATGTTTAAGTGTGTTTCTTGCCTTTGAGCATGAAAGCAAGATCTGAAGTGATGTCTATAGTCCAAATAAATGGCTTTTGGTGAGCATTGATCTAATTAATAAGAATGTGTAAGGTGGGAGTTAATTTACATATGTGTAAGTGGCTCCCAAACATTAGCCCTTTTATAGACAGTCATCATATTAATTGAACATTCCTTTTATACAAAGATAGTCAGCTGGAGACAAAGGCATACTATTCTAAGGTCAACAAAGAAAAAAAGATTTCAGGGGAAAAACAAATACATACAAACACACATATACATACATATATATATACATATATATATGTACCTTAAAATCTGAATCTCAAAATTCTTTGTTACAAGACTCTACAAACTTCCTACCCCTACAACTAGTAATTGTTATTTATCTGTTGAAAAGTACTTCTAATTTAAAATTATACATTTTATATCCACTGTAAATGAAAGAACTCATTTTAATACCCTGACAATATTAATCTTATTTTCACTGAATAGTGTAAGACAATACATCTAAAACATTACTGTTTCAATATGAAGAAATATTGCCACTCAGTAGACTTAAACACACATAAAATATTACATATTTTAATGCAAAATATATAGATCATATTAATTGATAGTAAACTAACAGTTTATATACACTTTATCTCATTGTGAGATAATTACTAATTAGCACATTTTGATTACAGGCACACATAGTAAAATTCATGATTAGAAACCTCATACTAAAAGGCCTTCCAACATGGACTTTATGAACTAAGAATTATATGAACTTAAAAGATATCAGTGGATTTGCAAAGATCTGCTGACAAAACAAATTTCTACAAGCTGTTTTGGTAGCAAAATGGCAATTTTAGGTTGTGAGCAATTACCTTTCTCTGCTCTCAGGGGGAAAAGAAAATCACTGCTGATATTCAAGTATTTTGAGAGAATTTCTGATGGCATTTAGGGAGTTACTGAATAAGATCAGTCAAAACTGAATTAATAAATTAGGTATATTTTAAAAAATAAGGGATTGTGCACAAAACCAGATTAGTGGAACCAGATATAATGGCTTGTGTATTTACTGAGCTCGAACAGGAGTGAGAGTTGTGGTGTTATTGCAGAGATTTGGATTTGATGATATGGTCCGCTGTTCACCTGAGACCACCACACACAGCATTCTTAAACCTGCTTCATATCTCAGTTTTCAGTCACTGAGCATTTCCTTCGAGTGTACTTCTGTTCAACCGAGATACAGTATTATGGTTATCTTTCAGACTGCACTTACAATACCTATAAATAAAAGCAGTGGTATCACAGGGCATCATTTCTCAGAAAATGAGTAAATGACAGATATCTACAAGCTTTATAGTATTCCTCAATAATCATACTCATATGTGTATATCTATTATATTGATCACAAGAGCATATTTGTTATTTTGGATATTTTCCTTACCGGTCAGATTCTTCAATCCAAGTTCTTGAAGTCCAAAGTTCCCATCTTTTCTGTAGTTTAAAAATATCGCCAAAGCATATCGATCTTCATACAGTTTTGTCCCACGGATGATGCGTAAATTCTCCAGAGGAAGGTAACGAAACTGATTAAGAGCCACTAACACGTAGCCTGTGACTTCTCGAATAGACTGAAAAGATACAAACAATTGTCTGTGTTAAAAATTTAAAGATGATTTGTCATCATATTTACAGTCATTTAGATTAAAATGAGCCACTTAATTCCAATTTTCAGCTTTTAATTTAATACACAAATTTTCACATTGCATTGTAAATAATTGCCTTTATAATACAAGATCATGCAAGTTTAGAATCTCATTTCAAGCATGAAATGTATTTCTTTTTAAAGTCATGCATGTGCTTATAGTAAAATAATGGACTTTGTTTTATAAAGCATTCTTCATACCTGAGATTTGAATATAACTAAAGGAATAAGCTATCATTCATTGACAAACTAAAATGAGGTAAGAACAAAAAACCATCAACCAAACTTTATATTAAAGAAAGAAAATTTGTAAGCTTATAACAAATAAAACAAAGCTGCATTAGTTTATAGACTGTGAGACGTATTTCAAATTGCTATGTTGGAGTTCAATGATAAGTTATTAAAGAACACTTCTCTTATATGTCTCTGGGGTACATATATATTTAAACAATATGCATTAAAGAGTGCTTACGGTCTCTGGTTACAACCATATTTGCTTTATTCATCAATTAATTTTATTTATTTTTAATTTTTTTATTAAGGTATCATTGTCCTCATCTTGAATCCCATCCACAATTTTTATTTTTACTGTCTATTGTCTAAATGGAGCTGTCCATAATATGAGTTAATTACTTGAGGTTTGTGAGACATTTTAAAGCAAAAAAAGTCACACAAACACTTTAGGTTTCATCTAAAGTTACAGTTTTTCCATGAAATAAACAAAATTGTAACAATTATGAACATTTCTGTTAAGTTTTTAAGAAATTACATATAATGCAAACATGCTAAAATATTTGTTGTTACTTTAATGTAATTTGAGAACTCTTTATCTCAGATGTTCTGTGTTCAGTCCTTGGTACTCTCTTCTCTATCCACTTAACCTGCTGGCAATCTTATCCAGTTTCACAGTTGATGATTTCCAAACTTTTATCCCTAAACTCTCCCCTAAACCCCAGGCTGACACCCAACTGCCTACTCTACCTCTTCACTTGAAAGACTAATAAACTTCTTAAAATACACCTATCCGAGTCTGAGCACCTATGCTCCTACCCCCATCCCCTCAGCATCCTTTCTCACCTCAGGTGAGGTCAATCCACCCTTCCTGTTATTCAGGCCAAAGTCTTGTAGTCGTTGTGGATGCACCCTCATCACACACACACCAAATACAATCCACTCTAGTTGTCTATCCATAGAACGATCACAAATTCAACCACTTCTTTCATAAGGCACTGCTTTCTTCTGAGCCACCATCACCTTTCATCAAGATTACTGCGTGAGGTTTCCCTGTTTCTACTTATATTCCTTATGGTGTATTCTCCATTAAGGCTAGCCTGACTTTTTTAAAACATAAATCATAATACTTCAGTTCTTAAAACCATTGAAACACTTCCTAAGTCACTCAGAGTAACAAACAAAGTTCTTTCAATGGTGGATCAAAATCGGCATCTGTTCTGTCCAGTGCAGTAACCACTAGACCATAGGTGGCTACTGCGCATCTGAAATGTAGTCAATATGAATTTAGATGTATCGTAAGTGTAAAATTCATTGTGAATTTCAAAGACTACTCTTTGAAATATCTTTTTAGATAATAAGTTATATAAAATGCAATATTAAAGTTAATTGTACCTGTTTACTTTTTTCAACCTTTTTATTGTGGCTACATGAAAATTTAAAATTACATTTTTATGACTGTCATTATTTTTCTTTTGGACAGTACTACACTATATGATCTGGTCATGAGTTCTTTCTCTGACTTCTCTTTTTAACTCTCCACTTTGCTCACTCTATTCCAGTGTTGCTGGTATCTTTGTTGTTCTTCCAGTATGACAAGTACGGTCTTTCCTCAAGGTGCTCACTATACTCTTATGTGTCTAAATTTCTCTCCGTTTTGTTATCTTCTTAGCTAATTTCCCCACTGCTGTCATTTTTTTTTCCCCTCAAATCTCACCTTTCTCAGTTGAGGCCAGGCTTGATTGACCTATTTAACATGACAACCCTCCCATATTTTCATGTTCTAATTTTTATTATTTCTATACTACTTTTCACCTTCTATATACTGTATAGTCTATTATATTTAGTATTTATAGTCTATCTCTCCCCTCCCCAGAATATAAGCCCCACAAAGGCAGTCACTTTAATTTGTTCACTCTGGGTCCCATGTGACAGCAATGGAACTGGCACATGGTAAGAAACCAACCAATATTTGTTGAACAATCTGGTTCTTCTCTGGCCACACTTGAACCACTAGGAAAAGTCTGCAGAATCAAGAGAAGTGCATATCCGGAGCCTCACTTTTCTTTCCTCTCTTCTGACTATGCTCCAGACTACTGTGATCAGGAATCCCATCCCCAAGGCCTCACCCAGAGCCAGTGACCCCTTCTTCCCCTGCTCTGTCCCTCAAACAGCCGACTGGGCCACCAATATGCCACAACCCTAGGAAGGAGGGGTGGTCTGACTGCGGATGTCTGAGGGGAGAGTGTATGGATCCTGGATGTGAGGCCCTGAGTACCCATCCACTTGTGAGCAAGGCCTCTCACAATACTGGGCAGAACTAGTGAGAGGAGAGCCTGAAAGCTAGAGTTCATCTCTACAGGCCAATGCATTCTTGCGGGGTATAAAAATTTATCACCTGGCCAAACAGGTTGTTATAAAGATATATCTGTCAAAGTGGGAGGATAGAACACATTTTAATAATATTTGTTTTATTAATAGTAAATAATAATAAAACATAAAATACATAGGCCTTCTTTTATACTCTTGCCGTAGGTCCCACAATTCTTTGAAATGATCATGCTATCACTAATCACCTAGAAAAGTAGGGTCCTAATGGAGCAAAGGTGGAGATGAAGAGTCAAGAGACATATGAAACTACTCATATCTGGCACTAGATTGGGAACTCTGAGCTACTACAGGCATTCCTGAAACCCTGAGCATTTTGGATTGAAGAGATGGATGTTTAGGGAAATAGAAACATGGGGCTAAAGGTCAACAGTGGCATGCATTGTTTGTACACATACATTATTTGTCTTAAATTGTACTTGCCTGGAATAGTCTAAAGAGTCCTACAAGTCCTCCTTCAATCACTGTTCCAATAGTTGAACTCTTATCCCTTCAGGTTCTTGGCAGAGAGATCAAAAACATGTTCTAACATCATTTGGTCTAAAAAGTAAAGTTCTTTCATTCATTATAAAAATAATGTATCCTCTAATGTGTATATAATAATTACAAAGTGCTCTAGGTCACAATGATAGTGCTAAGATAAACAATGGGGGTGGAGGATGTATCACTAGTCTTTTGTTTAGAAAATGTCATGGTCTTCCTAACACACCTTCACCATTAGCCCCTGCTCCACTAGGGCACTGACACATCTTACTGAAACTGTAGAAACTCACTGGTTTGTCAAAGGATGAAGGAATACACTAATGGGTTACCAGAGAAAATACAGGTGAAGCAGAGTCAGGTAAAAGAAGAGACTGAAGAGCAAAAAAGCAATCTCAGTGGCAATTTTTCAGTGTTTGTGAAAGGGATAAACTCTTTCTACGTATTGATTGATTGATAAAGGTAAGCTACTAGGCATGGCTTTTGGACCACACATTGGCAGAGGGTATGGATAACATGCAAAGAATAAGGGATCCCGTATAAGAAGTGGGATAGGTATGAGTTAAGAACAATGCTGAACACATACAAGGATCAACTAAACATAAAAAAGGACGTTCCAAGTACACTTCACTACAAGAGGAAGTAAAATACACATTTAAGAACACTTTTGCATTCACATATTATTTAGTGTGTTAATATTTGAATTAATTGCATTGTAAAGTGTATGCACTTCTCATTCTAGGCTATGCATTACAAAGGTATTCTTAGAAACATGTTTGTTATCTTCACAGAAGGTCAGTTTAAAAGCAATAGCTACCCCCTTCTGGAGATTCTGAGACTGGAGAAATTGGCTGTTGTAGCTGAGATTTTGGTGTCTAACATTGAGCCTCTTTCATTGTCTACTCATTATTCTTCTTTGGTCTTGCAAAATAGTATGTGTAGCTTAAATGTTGGCATTACAAATGCCTTTTTGCTATGTGAACTTTGCACATCCTTATATGTTAATGTTGAGAATGCCTATGTTCAACCCACTTTGAACAAAGTCATCCATAAGCAGGTGATATATAATTCATCTATAGTGAATTATTTGGTGATAATGATGGTGAAGATTCTATTCATCTTATCCCACATACCTTTCTCTGACACAAATAATGTAAATAATAGGGAAGAAAAAAAGGTAGTAAATCTCTCACCCCAAGATTTGTTGCTCTAACCTATTTCTGGAGAGGCTCACAGAAGCAAAGTATTTCTAAAGCATTATATGGGACAATGATCAGATTCTTACATTTAAAAGGAAAAAATGTGCTTTGATTTTGATTTTAAGTTTTCTGTTTTCTGGTATTTAATCATATTCTTTAAGGTATTCATAAAACCTTTTTGTGCACTTATATCTTGAAACATCTCAATAGGAAACTCCACTGCAAATAACCTGAGCTACAATGTGTACTGATTACAAATAAGATAACAGGAAACAATTTAGTAATGGTGGATTGTTTAATACTGCAAAAGAGTCAATAACATGGCTGTGAGTTAATATTAGCAGATCACTAAGCATTCTGGGTAAAAAGTAAAGAGATATCTAAAAGTGTCAACCGGCGTCACACAATCATGTCAGTTATCCACTGTTCCTCTCCTTTCAGCTATCAGAAAGAATCTGAGTACCACAACTACTTTAGCTCTCTCAGAACTTTTATGAAAATGAAAATAACTTTTAAACAGATAGACTTATCTGTGGAAAGTATAATGGTAAGAAAGGTAGGCTCACTGTCAGGCAAAGCTGGGCTCAAAACCTAGTCTTCACACTTGATAGCTGTGGTTTTGATCAAA